GAGAGAGAGAGAGAGAGAGAGAGAGAGAGAGAGCATATGCCATTTGATCTCTTACTGTGTTGAGCGGCACAGCCTATCTTTATGACTGGCTGTGCTTGAAGGGGATGGAAAATTAACATGTAACTTGATGTAAGTTATTGAAAAAAAAAAAAAAAAAAGAAAGAGAAAAACCGTGTTCAGGATTGTGATCTTGTGCAATTCTTGAGAACAGGAAGTGGAATGCATGAGTGAAGAGTGTAAAGGTACAGTATCTTTGCAACATTTGTGTACGCTTCAGTTGTGAGACAAATTCAACAAACAGATGTCGAAAAGGTGGGGTAGCTCAAACCGCCACTCCGCCCGACAGCCGAAAACCCTCGGCCCTGTGAGTCAGGGCCGGGTTCTATGGAGGGTCGGCGACCGTTCGTCACCGGCGGGTCCAATCCTGCCATTTGAAAGCCGCAACTTTGGCGATTTTTCGTGCTCAGAAGAATTCTTTAAAAATTCTGAAAATTTGAGGGTCCGTAGATTAGGTCGTGATCTTTCAAGGGGAGCTTATCTGATCTGACGCCATTGACTTGCATAACCATCACCACTCCCGTCAGCATGGTTTTTACCCACCCCCAATAGATGCCTCCAATCCCTCTGCGTGCCATCCCCTGCAAGAGGAACTCCCACCTGACCTGTTCGTACACTTTCTCAAGGTTGATAGATACAAACGCTTTCACACAGCCTGTACATTGAGCCTCCTCCAAGATCTGCTGCGAGGTCACGGTTGAAAGAATCTGCCGACCCGCCACAAAGCCATTTTGTGTGGCATCGATAATCTGTGGTGGCACATCCCTCGAGCGGGTTGCCAGTACCTTGCCAGAATCTTGTACAATGCATTGGGAATGGGGATCGGGCGCCAGTTCCGGGCGTCTTCCTTCGCGCCCTTCTTATAGAGGAGGATTATAGAGGAATCTGCGAAGCCTTTTGGGAGGGTACCAGTTTTAAGCACTTCATTGTAGGCCAGTGTTAGAAGGACAACAAAAAGTTACGGAAGTCCTTATATAACTCTACCGGCATACCGTCCAGCCCTGGTACTTTTGACCGGGGGAGCTCAGCTATTGCTCTCTCCACCTCCACCGGTTGGATGTCTTCCTCCAACTTGCAAGTGGTTTGCAGGTCCAAATGGTTCCGCGCGTGCCTCCATACTTCGCAGCCCGGCACGTCAGCCATAGCCTCCGGAGTCCATTGCTCTTCTTCTCTCAGCAGCTCGCGATAAAAATCTACCATGTACTTCAAGATTCCCCTTGTGTTGTGCTGCTGGCCGTGGTGCTCATCAAATGGATGGTTCATCACCGTCATTAGCGGGCCTGCCTTCTGCATAGTGACAGTGGCAAAAAAATTCCGTGACATCCTTTCCCCAATCACTATCCACGACTCCTTGGTGCGTCTGCCCCACTTCACCGCCTCTTCCCCTTGTGTTACATCTTCGATGCCACACGGGTCTTACCGGACCCGACATAGGGTAGAGGGACACAGTAGGGCCAAAGGCCCGACCTTGGGGGTACTACAGGCCGTAAAGGCCTTACCTTGGACCAGACCCGACGGGCCGGCCCAAACGATGTTACCGTTTGGGCCTGGTGGCGCTCTTGAGGCTGCCGCCCGCCGGTTGGGGCTGAACCGTCCATTTGGACGGTTCAGGGCACGGTCAGGCCTCGCAGCATAGAGGCCGACCTCTGCCCACCGGTACAAAGGTACCGGTCCAGCCTCAGTGAGGCTATCGACCCACCGGTATTCTACGCGGTGGGGTAAGGTCGGCGCCAGAGCGCCGTTTGAGCGCTATTCTTAGCGCAGGAGGAAGGACAGCAGCAGCGCGAGCTAGTGCAGCGGCAGCAGCGAGCGAGGACAACAGCAGCAGCACGGCGGCCATCGCCGCCTCAGCAGCAGCAGGGCAGGTACCAGGAGGCGAGGATCTCTTCCTCCCTCCACGGTCCCGTTCCCCTCCTCCTCACCTCCGTCTTCTCTCTCTCTCTCTCTCTCTCTCTCTCTCTCTCTC